TTTGTAGATCGTAAGTAGACAAAAGTAGACACTAAAGTTTGGTTCCAAACAGTAGCGGAACCCGTTTTTTAAAACCATGCTTGGGTCCCGCTAACTTCGCAAAACGTTAGCGAGACCCATTGCTTAAATCTCGGTCCAAGAGGAAAATGTCATGAACAAAAAGGAAGGTATTCGTTAGTAGACGAAAGTAGACACAACAGTTTTCCCCGAAAATAGATACTGCGCAAATTATCTTAAGATAAAACCACCATGGTGATCGCCAAAATCCCACTTTTTAACATATTGTTTTGATTTCACCAAACACACAATAAAGCACCTCTTTTTTGTTAGTAGATGATAGTAGACTACATTGTTCGGCTAATAAACTCATCCCGTCCTTTGCGGACTCGTTGCGATAATGTGGGTCCCGCCAACATCTCACTTTTCACCAGGAGAATCTGTTTTCACCAACGACACACGATTTGGGTTATATTTCGTTAGTAGATGATAGTAGAATACATTGCTTGGCTGATACACTCATCCCGTCCTCTGCGGACTCGTTGCGAGGGTGTGGGTCCCGTCAACATCTCACTTTTCACCAGGAGGATCTGTTTTCATCAACGACACACGATTTGGGTTATATTTTGTTAGTAGATGATAGTAGACTACATTATTCGGCTTATACACTCGTCTAGTTCTCTGCGGACTCGTTGTGAGGATGTGGGTCCCGCCAACATCTCACTTGTCACCAGGAGAATCTGTTTTTACCAACGACACACGATTTGGGATATATTTCGTTAGTAGATGATAGTAGACTACATTGTTCGGCTTATACATTCATCTTGTTCTTTGCCGACAAGTTGTGAGGTTGTGGGTCCCGTCAACTTCTCACTTTTCACCAGGTGGATCTGTTTTCACCAACGACACATGATTTGGAATAAATTTTGTTAGTAGATGATAGTAGACTACATTGTTTGGCTAATACACTCATCCCGTCCTCTGCGGACTCGTTGTGAGGGTGTGGGTCCCGTCAACATCTCACTTTTCACCAGGAGAATCTGTTTTCACCAACGACACATGATTTGGGTTATATTTTGTTAGTAGATGATAGTAGACTACATTGTTCGGCTAATAAACTCATCTTGTTCACTGCGGACTCGTTGTCTGACCTATTTTCCTTAGACCTCGTTTATATGCTGGAATTTGGAAAGAATGTGGTTAAAAGAGGGACATGATTCAGAGGCTATAGAGCGGGAAAGACCGCGAATATATTGGAGTGCAGCGCTACGTCATAGGTGGCTGAGGAGGGAAGAGACGTGACTAGGTGACCGTAACGGACTACAGCGTCACGTCACAGGGGGCAGAGCGTTTAGGGAACGTGACGTGGCGTCTGTGACGAGGTTTAGAGCAATGTATACACTGAGCTGTGCGAGCTGTGCGAATCGAGGTTTTTGCCTTCGAATCGAATCGAATCGAATCAGTCCAAATCCGAGCCCGAATCGAATCGAAAAAAAATCTGTTGTATTTTTCGTATGCAAGTCACGCGGTATTTTTAAACTTACTTAAACTGGCCCTGTACCGTAGATGTTCGACGACTGTACAACGTGTAGTGCGGGCATAGAGCGGGTGCCGCACACTGGACCCCAATGCGATTCGATGTCGAACCAACCCGATTCGAAATTTCGAATTATTCGACATCGAATCAGGCAAATTCGAAATCGAACGAATTCGAATCAGGCCGATTCGATTCGATTCGATTCGATATCGAACAATTCGCACAGCTCTACTGTCTCAGGCGACCGGACGTGTAAGGGCGTGAGGGTACTGAGAAGGTGGGCGGAGCCACGTCACAAGGGGCATGGACTGTAAGGGTCGTGACGAGGTACCTTGACCGTTTCTTCTTCGGCAAGTGCGTGCCGCGTTAGTGTCAGTGTGTCGCAGCCGTGTCAATGGGGTTGCCATCTGCTACCATCTGCCCTTCTCCGCGCCTGCAGTGGTGTGGACATTGCTGCGAAGTGGCTGTGGAGCTTCTGCTTTCTTGGACCGAATGAACAAGGATCATTACAGTAATCTAATCAAAATGTAAAATTTATAATATTTATCTCATTTAAAATGAAGTACAACAAAAATTGCAGCTCGGATCTTCACCATTGTGCGTCGCTCGGTAACGATTGAGTG